ATGAACAATTAGAAAATCAGAAATCTAAGGCTAGGTAGGAGTAGCTTCATAACAAGCCCTGGCCAGTTTGTCCAACATAAGACCCTGTCTCAAACACACACACACACACACACACACACACACAATGTGAAAAGATGTATAACATCATTGATCAGCAGAGAAATGCAAATCAAAGGTATGAAATACCCTTAAGTGACTCTGAAAGAAAATCACAGGCAATAGCAAATGTGAGCAATAAGGTGGAAAGTGGGAGCGCTTATGTATGTAAAGTTGTATGTCTGCTTTGGAAAACAGCCTGCTGTTTCCTACAAACATGTAATTTCCATATGTCTCAGCATTTCCTTTTCTAAGTCTATGTTCAAGACAGTTGAACCAGCCGGGCAGTGGTGGCGCACGCCTTTTAATCCCAGCACTCGGGAGGCAGAGGCAAGCGGATCTCTGTGAGTTCGAGACCAGCCTGGTCTACAAGAGCTAGTTCCAGGACAGGAACCAAAAGCTACAGAGAAACCCTGTCTCAAAAATCCAAAAAAAAAAAAAAAAAAAAAGACAGTTGAACCAGTTAGAGTAGTGCATGCCTATAATCCCAGTTCTGGGGAGGCTGAGGCACCAGGTAGTGAGTTCCAGGCCAGCCTGGAGACCTTATCACAAAAAAAACATGGATAATGGAAAATATGTTTACCGAAAATCTTCCACACAAATGTTCATAGCAGCATCATTCACAATATGTAAAATGAAAAAACAACCTAAACATCTAGACTCTGTTTAGCCATTAATAATAATGAAGTCTCATACACACGATAATAAAACATTATGCAAGAGGCTTCACAGCCAGCCATTGAAGCCCATAGATGGCATGACTATGCTTATTTGAAATTCTGGAGTAAAGCAAATTCACAAAAGCAGGAAGTAATTTAGTGGTGGGCAGGGGCTAGTGAGGACTGCTAATGGATACAGAGTTTTCTTTTGCAGTGATGAAAATGTTCTGAAGTTACACAGTGGTGATGGTTGTGAAACTCACTGAACTGTACAGGATACTGGGACTGAGAATGAAATTGCTATGTAGTCCAGAAAAACTTTGAACTCCTGACCTTCCGCCTCCACCTACTGAGAGCTAGGATACAGATGTATGCCACCATGCCCTTACACTTTAAAACGGTAAAGTTTGTGCTGTGTGAATTTTGTCCTTATATATGTTGTGTACTATATACATGCCTGGTGCCCTTGGAGGTCAGAAGAGGGTGTTGGAGTTACTGATGGTTGTGAATAAGCTGTGGGTGCTGGGAATTGAGTCTGTGTCTTCTGCAAGGGCAGCAAGTTCTCTGAACTGCTAAGCAATCTCTCCAGGCCAGTGAAAAAATTTTAACCTTGGGAGGAAAAGGATTTTTTAAAACTAGTAAGAAAATAATAACAAAAAATAGTAGTTGCCATATTAATGTTGACAAAGAGGATTTTAAGGCAATCTTAGTACTACATTTTTAATAAAGTATTGGACCAACCTGAAATGTGGAACTGAAAAGTACATAAAGCAGCAAACCAAAGAACTACAAAGATATTCTGGAGAGATGGCTAAGTGGTTAAGAGCACTAGCTGCTCTTCCAGAGGACCCAGGTTCAATTCTTATAGTGACTAACAATTGCCTATAACTCTAGCAATGAGAATCTGGCTAAAAGCAGATCATTCAAGGTATCTTACCCCTGGGGACAGTGAAGGAGGAGACCTGAGGATGAGGTTTTAATTTTGATCAAAATGACCAGATAGAGTTGAAAATATTGAAAACTATGGCTCTGCTTGTGAAAGCCCCAGCCATGAAAGTCTGACATCCTGAGTCTGATCGCCAGAACACATAAAGTGCTCACCTAGTGTTAAGGATGTAGACCCGAGGCCTGGCTAAAGCTAGGCTTGGGTAAAGAATGTGGTTGCAACATGTCCTTTGGACATACGCTTGACAGGAAGGAACTTGTGGCTATGTTGCTAACTCAGTCACTGTCTGTCCAAGGGACCTTCATCCCTAGTTCTTTCCTGGGTTCTTGGCCACACCCTTGGCTTATCCATGGCCCACTCCTGCCCTTCCCGACAGCCTACCTTCACTGAGTCCAACTTCAGCTAAAGGTTCTTTGTGTCACGTGCCTGTTCTTCTGTGAACCCAGAGTGCCTATCTCCAAGGTACTATGTCTACTCTAGAGGGATCTTTGTAGGGCCCAAATCTTACCCCCCACCCCTACGACCATGGGAAGATTTCCTGGTTTCTGTTTAACAGGACATTAAAGGAAGTAATAGAGAATGCTAACAATTACACAAAATTCTTTAAAGACAAGACTGAAATCTAACCTGGTATTCTCTCTCTTTGAAGACACTGATAAGAGGGGGCTGGAGAGAACTCTCCCTTTCTTCAGTTACCCAATCCTTATGGCCCAAGCAAGCCCCTCCTTCACATGAAAGCAGGCAAGATAATTCAGGGTGAAAGAACAGTTTTCAGATTCTCCCTCTGCCACAGGCTGTGTATCCTTGGCTCAGTTAGTTAGCATCTCTATGTCTCAGTTTCCACACATTAATGGTGAGGGTGATGACTACCTCGTTCACTGGTGAGCTTTAAGTAACTTTACATTAAGCTTTTCCAAAGCCTGGTATAAGGTAAGTGCCCAATAAAGAGTCATTGTCTTTTTAATACAAGAGAGAAGCCTTCCATAAATATTAGCTATAAAGCTAGATACATATTTGCTACAAGAATGATAAAGAGTAAGTTGCTCTTTCTCTACTTTTGGAACTTGAACTTACCATATCCAAAAGTGATCTTATTACCTCTCCCACCAAGCATTCCCAGTTGAATCTTTCTCCAGATCTGTTGCCAGGGCCACCCACTCAACTCCTAAAGCATTCCTATCTTAGGCTGAGGTTGAGTTTCAGTTTGTAGAGTGCTGCCTAGCATGTGCTAAACCCTGGGCTGGCTCTCCAGCAGCACATCACACACCTACAATTCCAATACTCAGCAAGTGGAAGCCTGAAGTACATCTATGACCACATAGCAAGTTTGAGACCAGCTGGATCTACTACATGAGACTGAGTCTCAAAATAACAACAAAACGTGCTCCTATCTGTTACCCACATAGCCCTACAAGTTCAGTTTTTTGAAACCTCTGCCACTCACATTGGTTCCAAGATAGAGTATGAATCCTGTTTGGTTATGATCTGGTGAGGCAATGTTCTCTTGTGACACCCACAAAATGTACCCCCTGAATTTTGGTCTGTCCCTGAAAAACTGGGTCCCACTCCTGATTCACAGCGCCTGACTTTCAGAGGCATCTCAAGCCCAACTCTCACCCCAAACTGAACAAGAATGCTGCTTGTGGAGAATACATCAGGAGCACCATTGACCACAGGCTGTCTCCTTCCAGGTTTTGTTGTGGCTCCTTCCTCCGTTGACCAGTCTCAGTGCCTGAACCTGCCACGACGGACGTACGTCTTAGAGCCCCTACTTTCCAGTAAAGGGCAGAGAAGACAGGGAGTCCCTCTGCCAGGTGACCCAAAGCTCTGCTCTCACAAACTGCCTTCCTCCAAGGGGAAGATCTGAGAATGAAAAACATGCTGCCTCTGTATGAGCCAGGGGTACCCTGGTATTCCACTCCAATATGATCAGGATGGACCTCTCGCCCCAGATCAGGTTTATCTAGGGCAGGATTTAGGAGGCTGGTGGCCAATGAATGGATTTGCCTCACTGCCCCGGTACTAAAGGAATAATCTAAACATGCGTCTGTGGCATCCCCTGCTGGTGGTGACAACATATTGCACCCTATGCAAGGCCATTGCGTCAAGGGGGCAGATGTGACCTAGCCCTATTCCTAGACAGGAAGAGCACCCACTGATGCTCTGATGCTCATGCTCAGGGCTCCCAGAGTAGCTAGGAGAATACTTTTCCTGTAAAACTCGTTATGGTCATCCTCATCAAAACACCCCCTTTGCCCACCAAGATCCTCCCCTTGCAGTGGAAAGGTCCAATCAATACTTCATCAACAAAATAAGAATGGGTGGGTATCGTGAGTGACTGAGGGGAAAGGTGAGAAGCAGGGCAGTCTGACCAAAAGACAATGAGGTTCCAATACAGGTCATTGGAGGTGAGTGAACCAAGCTGCTGAGACCCATTTATGGTACTGGATGTCCAAGGTTTCCCTCCAGTGACCCCATGGGGTGAAACAGCAGGACACTGGGCAAGCATGTCCAGGATATCTGGTCCAAAGCCTGAAGCACAAAATACCTGGGGTGACCATGAAGCTGCTCACTTGCTTCCAGACCTCCTGGCTCCAATCCCAAAACCCAGGCCAGCACTGTATTAGACCTCAGTATTTCCCTTTGGATCCCAAAATTTGACAAAACTTCTCATACACACATCCCAGTCAGGCTCTGTCATCCAGCTCACATACTGGGAGTTGGAGCAGAGAAAGAAAGAGGAAGCAGAGCCTCCTCCAAACTCTGACTGGCTGAGGCCTTCTCCTGACTGTCCCAACAAGGCAGACTTTGGGAGTCCTGACCCTGGTGGTTAAGTGGGGCTGGAGCCACTAGAACCAGAGGACAGCCCACAGCTCGTCACCAGAAGCAGCGGTAGAGGAAAGTACCCCAAACTCCCGTCACCTTCCCCACAGGCTCAAGCCCTTTCCAGCCCTGGGAAGGATCTGGAGCCCATGCAGCTGCTGGTGAATTATGCCTCCTGCCATCGCCCCCTGCTGGCAGCCCAGTAGACCTTGCCGGCATCCATTTTCTATCAAACTCGGGCAAACAGGCAGTCAGGCAGCCTCTTACTGGCAGCACGCTGGGGGACAGAATCAGGAAGTCCTTGAACAATCCAGGGTGCCTGTGCCTCAGTCCCAGCAAGAAGAGGTTCAGGATGCAAAGCACAACACCCAGTGCAGATCCACTGGCAGTGAACTTGCTTCCCTCATGTCCTTCCATGAGGTGACCCGCAGCCCCATACTCATCCCAGACTCAGTCAGCACCAAGGCATTGCTCTGTTTGTCTTTATTGGTTGGGAGGAGAGGGAACTGAACAGCTACAACACAAGCAGGGCCACCCACAGTCAGCAAAGCACAGAACAGCCATGCGATGCATGTGTGCGTGCAAGATGCAGGAAGGACAGCCCCAAAATTCACTTGCAAACACCTCCTCGGTGTCCAAAAAGTGTGACAGCAACATGGGGAAGAGAGCCTCCACCATAGGTAAGGGTAGGGACTGGGGGACACACTGGGGAAGCCCCCTAGCCCAGTGCCATGCAGCACACCTACAGTCTCAAACTTTCCAGCAGAGGCCAGCTCGGGAGACAAGGGGCAGGGAAGGAGACCAAAAGGGCCGGAGGAAAGAAAAGCTGGGAGTCAGTCCACTTGGTCTTCTTTGGCATCCACCTTGGGTAGAGGGAAGAAAAAGGAAGCACAGGAAAACAGATTCAAAAGGTGCCAGCCTTCCTGCATCCTTCCTAGCATCTTACTCAAGCCTTGGCTTTCCTGAGACTCCAGAGGTCATGCCTCTATCCCTAGCATAAGGTGTCTGCTATAACCCTCTGCCCAGCTTCTCCTTCTACGACACTCTCTGACCTTGACCCTGCAGATCCCACCTAGTTCACTGCCATCCTCTAAGCTCCCTAAGAAGTCAGTTCTCAGAGAGCACTGGGCATACACACCTGGTTGTCACCACTTGGGGGACTGGCTAGTCCCAAGGCCTGGGTGGCTGTGACAGATCCTACCCTGCCGGGAGACCTCCTCACCCTCTGGGCTCTGCCCCAGCTTACGGATGTGATGTAGGAACGATGTGGCATTGAACGCTCGCTGTGGGAAGAGAGTGGGGTCAGGCCAAATTGGGCCCAGCAGCAAGATCAGTTCCAAGACCAGCATCAAGACATCAGTGGCCACACCCTGAAACAGGAGTATGATAATCTCTCTCTCCTTGCTCACCTTCCAGTGGGTCCGGGCAAAATTCTTCTGGATCTGTTCACTGACAGAACCCAGGATGTCTTTGTCCAAGGCTGCATCCCCAGAGATCCTAGAGAAAGGTTGAGTTAGCAAAAGTGTCGTTCCTGTCCCTGTACCACCTGCCAGGTATCCCACTCACCAAAGATGCTGTAAGGCCTGTTGGCAGGTGAACCTCTTCTGGGGATCACGCTCCAGCAGGTGCCTGATGAAGTCTTTGGCTGGAGCAGGGGGGCAAAGTCAGTCTGCCGTTTCCCTGGTGCCCTTTGTCAACTCCCCAGCACAAAGCCAGCCTTACACTCACCTGATTCTGAGATGTCATCCCAAAAGGGAGAATCAAACTCGTAGCTGGCCCTCAGAATCTGGTTGAAGAGTTCAGGATCGCTCTCGTCGTAGAAGGGGGGGTACCCACACAGCCTGGCACCCACAGATGAATCACCCAGATGTCCACCCCTCCCCAACCCAGCAGGGGCAGGCATGTAGGAGTTGAGCCGTCCCAGCGGTCACTCACAGGATGTAGGAGATGACACCCAGGGCCCACACATCTACGGCCTTCCCGTAGGGTTTCTGCTCCAGGAGCTCTGGGGCTGGCGGCCAGAGGCAGACAGACAGACAGACATGTCTGCACAGGCACGTACACATGTCATGCCCTCGAGGGCCACACCTGGTGTACTTATTCAGCCCCAGGCAGCAGGTGTCCTAGGTCCTGGAGCTTTGGCATCTCCAGAGTCACCGGCTCCCTCCCCACAACAGTAAGCCTTAGAGCGCTTCCCTCTTACCCACATATCCTGGGGTCCCACAGGCTGTGCCTAGCATGTTGCCAGCTTGTATTTTGGACAGGCCAAAGTCAGAGACCATGATCTTGGAGTCCTCAAAGGGTGTGGCATAGAGGAGGTTTTCAGGCTGTTGACACATGGAGCCAAGGAAAGGACCTGAGTCCCAGAATGGTTTAGGCATTGGAATAGGGTGGGCCTCAGCACCCTTAATTTCCCCGGACACAGACTGAAGTGTATTTTGGAAAAAAGACACTCCGGGCCAGAAGTGGGTGGGGCCCAGCCAGGCACCTTGAGGTCCCGGTGCACAATGCCCAGGCTATGAAGGTAGGAGACAGCCCCGAGGACCTGCCCTACAAGGTGGCTGGCATCCTTCTCTGTGTAGGAGCCCCGCTCCATGATGCGGTCAAACAGTTCACCACCAGTCACCCTGGGGACAGGAGGATTGAGGCAAGAGGTCAGCTGACCCAGGCATGGATCCTGGCATTGCACCCCTTCTGCCCAGCCCCCCACCAAACAGCCTTCCTCACAGCTCCATGGCCAAGTAGAGGTGAGAAGGGCTCTCATGAACGTCTTCCAGAGCGACAATGTTGGGGTGGCTGATCCTGAAACAGAAAGAAAAAGGCTCCTTGTGGAGCACTGCATCCCCTTTATCTGGAAGAGCTCTGCCCTGAGCCCTCCCCTCTTCTCTTCCTTCATCTGGGCTCCCATTCCCTACCAATCCCTGCCCCCACTAGCCAAGGTCTTCCTAGAACACACACTTCTGTAGGCCATTTATAAAGCACAGATGAATAGGGTGCCTCTAATGTCGCCATGGAGATGTGCTGACTCAAAGGGGAAGAGACAGGTACAGGCCCCCTGCAGACTCAACCAGGCCTGGTGAGTCCAGAGGACTCAGCCTGTGGTCACAGATCTCCCCAGCCCAAGGGTCAGGCAAGCGCACCTGCGGAGTACCGCAATCTCATTCTCCACCAGGGCCTCCTTGCCCCGAAGGGCTTTCTTGGGGATACACTTGAGGGCCACAAGATGAGCAGAGCCCCTTTCCTGGGCCAGCATCACCTCGGAGAAGGCACCCCTGCCGTAGAGCCAGATGGTGGGAGGCAAAAAGGGAGGGGAAAGGTACCAGTGAGGAGGAAGAGCAGAAATGGAGGATTCAGGTCATACCACCCACCCTAACACACACCCACAAGTGTGCACACACACATCCCCACACCACCTCCCACACATTCACACACACTGACACATTCACCAGCATTCACATACCACTGCCCACACAGACGACATGCCTCCCAGTTCACCCCCATGTTCACACTCATACCACATTCACCACTCATAAGCTCCCTCACACATTCGCTCACATGTGCACAGGCCTCACATTCGGAAGCGGTCACTCCCACAGCCCGGCATGTACACTCACGAGCCCAGCTTCTCCCGGATCTCATAGACACTGCTGATGTCCTCCGTCTGTTTCTTGAGCAGCAGCATGTCTGGAGGGGGTTGGGGGAGAGAGATGGAGCAAGGCCCTTGGCAATGCGCAGCTCCCTTGCCCACCAAGCCAGACATCTCCCAACTCAGGATGGAGTCACCCACTCCCCAGTCCAAGTATACCTTTCCCCTCCCCCACAGTCAAAATCACACTCCCACTGAGGCAGGCCACTGCATGTAGGCCTCCCACCCAGGTATGCTGCTGTCAGCCTGTGCTCCCCGACTCCAACATCCAGAGCACACGTAGTGTTAGCCACCAACACTACGACACCCCTTTCTGCCTCCACTCATGGAGCCAGCACTGCCGGCTATTTTCCAGAAGGCTTCAAACACTCCCATCCTGGCTCATCCAGGCCCACCTCCACCCCTAAGGCCCGTGCCCCTCCCCCACCAGACCTGCCACCGTGGCACAGTTCAAGCAGACACCACCTAGGCCACCAACCCTCTCAAATGCACCTGCGACCCTGCTCGCAGCCACCTGTCACAACCGCAGCTACCCAACCTCTGACTGGCCCCTGGGCGCCTCGAAGTCGGGGGGTGAGCGTGAGGGACTCCGCAACCTCGGCCGCCTGCGTCCAGAGCTGCGTGGACCGCGCGCGTGCGGGCAGGGGGCGCGCTGGGCGTGACAGGTGTGGCGGGGTAGAAGAAGCTGCGGAGCTAAGGCGGCCGTTGGCCTGGACCCTGTATGCCCTGGCCCGCCCGTCCCGCTAGCCCGCTTGCCCCCAGCCCAGAGCTGCTGGCAGGTGCTGCAGACCTGCAGGTGACGCCACCGCAATGTCGCCTAGCGCAGTAGCTGCGGCGCCGAGCCCCCCGCCCACGTCCCGCCGGCCCCGCCCCCTTCGCGCGCGCCCCCGCGAACCCTGGGCACTCGAGCACGCGGTGGCCATGGCCACAGCACTGCAGAGCTCCTTGTAAGGCAATTCCTGGGGCTCTGGCCACCAGTATCTGGCTCCTTAGTTATGCTTGTTGACTACTGAATACTCCAGTGCCCCATAGCCCCCGCTAGGTGGCCCCAGGACCTTTGCACCACCGGTGACTTCATCCCGAAGTGTTGCATACATGAACCTGGCTGTCTGCCTTCCCTGTTTTAATGTGCTGTTCACAAAGAGGTTGTCTAGGCCATTTGCTATACAGCAGCCTCTTTTCCTAGTGCCTGATGGCCCTTGTAACCTTGATGTCAACACAGTGGTGACCTGGCCTAAGTCTTCACCAGCTGGGCTTTCTCTGCTTCCACCCTTACCTCCTGCTCCTCCTCTTTTGCACCACAGCATTCCCTTTGCTAAGGTCATGTCGCTCCAGGAGGCACATATGCCACTCCCTGGCAGATTAGGAGTCTCTGCAGGGTCTGATGACTCTCCGCAGCATCTGATTTCCCCTCTTCAGCCTCCTCTGAACCTGCCCCCTGGCCTTTGCATGCACTACCCCTCTTTGCCCTGATATCTGCTCAGTTCAACCCTCCCTCCAATAATTAGTTTGGTGTGCTGCCTCCTCAGACAGGCCTCCCTGGCCTGCGCTTGCCAGTTCTCTAATTCATGGTCTGTCCCCTCTTCAAAACATCTGCTCCTGCAAATCACTTTGTCTTCTGCCCCAAAGCGAGTGACCTGGCCCAGGGGAGGCACTCGGGAAACAGCACTTCCTGCTGATGGGGAGCTGATAATCTTATGGGAACCCAAAGAAAATTTGGGATTATGGTCAAGTTCTGACTGGAGTATTCTGTGAGGCTGGATCATCTCAGGCAGCAGTCTTGAAGCTGTTCTGGATGTAGAAAACTGCAACAGTTCCCAAACATTGGGTCACCTGAGCCATCCATTGCCATTGGAGATTTTTCAGGGAGTCTTCCCACGCACCATGTAACTGGCCAAGAAGCAAGGTGTAAGGTAACAAACCACAAGCCTCATGGTAAAATATAAAATAATAGAAATGGATTAATTTAAGATGTAAGAGCTAGCCGGGTGGTGGTGGCACATGCCTTTAATCCCAGCACTCAGGAGACAGAGGCAGATGGATCTCTGTGAGTTCGAGGCCAGCCTGATCTACAAGAGCTAGTTCCAGGACAGGCTCCTAAGCTACAGAGAAGCCCTGTCTTGAAAAACCAAAACACAACAAAACCAAAAGAAAAAAGTAAGAGCTAGCTAGGAATATGCCTGAGCCGTTGGCCAAAGAGTGTTGTAATTAATATAGTTTTTGTAATTATTCAGGTCTGGGTGGCAAAAAAACAAAAACGCAGTCTCCATTTACACAAACACGGAGACTTGATTCTTACTTATAAAAGCCTGGCCTTAGCTTGGCTTATTTCTAGCTAGCTTTCCTTACCTTAATTTATCCTACCTTTTGCCTCTGGACTTTTTCTTTTTCTTGCTTCTATATATCTTACTTTCACTTTTTTTATTTTATTTTATTTTTTTGGTTTTTCGAGACAGGGTTTCTCTGTAGCTTAGGAGCCTGTCCTGGAACTAGCTCTTGTAGACCAGGCTGGTCTCGAACTCAGAGAGATCCACCTGCCTCTGCCTCCTGAGTGCTGGGATTAAAGGCGTGCACCACCATCACCCGGCCGTAGTTCTCTAACTTCCACATACACTCTGTGGCTGGCTGTGTGGCTGGCCCCTTGGGTCCACCACTCCTTGTTCTTGCTCTTCTTTTGTCCTCCAGATTTCTCCTCTCATTTATTCTCTCTACCTGTCAACCCTGCCTATCCTTCCCTGACAAGCTATTGGCTGTTCAGCTTTATTAAATCAATCAGTTGTTTTAGACAGGCAAAGAATCACAGCTTCACAGAGTTAAACAAAGGCAGCATAAAAGAATGTAACACATTTTTGCATCATTAAAGCAAATGTTCCACAGCATAAACAAATATAACACATCTTAAAATAATAACATCCACAACAGATGATCAAGGCAGAGAATCATGAAAATCAAAAAAGGTACATGGTGGGGTCTCTTATCAGGATGTTCAGGCAGCCCTCTGGTCCCCCACCGCCCCTGCCTGGGCTCCCAAGCCAGGCCTCACTTCTGCTAGCCATGCCTGGGACTCCAAGACCATATAACAGCACTTTGGTGGATTAGTTGGAGTCATCATTCGAGGCTTGCTTCACTTCCCTTGTGAGTCAGGATTATGTCAATGGAACTGATCAGGAAGACATTCGAAATGGTGTTGATCAGTGTATCCAGAAGTTTTTGGACATTGCAAGACAGACAAAATGTTTTTTCTTACAAAAAAAAAAAAAAAGGTTGCAGGTTGGAGAGGTGGCTCAGAGGTTAAGAGCACTGGCTGCTCTTCCAGAGGTCCTGAGTTCAATTCCCAGCAACTACATGGTGGCTCATTACCATTTGTAATGAGATCTGGTGCCCTCTTCTGGCCTGCAGGGATACATGCAGGCAGAACATTATACACGTAATAAATAAATCTTAAAAAAAAAAAAAAAAAAAGGTTGTAGTTTGCAGTTGTCTGTCCAGAAACCAGATCAAGTTACCAAAGAGGATGTCTCAGAACTAAGGAGTGAACTGCAGTGAAAAGACGCGTTGGTTCAGAAGCACTTGACAAAGCTAAGGCATTGGCAGCAGGTGCTGGGGGACATCAATGTGCAGCACAAGAAGCCAGCTGAGATCCCCCAGGGCTCCTCAGCCTACCTGGAGCAGGCATCTGCCAATATTCCTGAGAGCACTCTGCCTGGGATACAGCCATGTTGTCTTGCCTGATGTCTTTCTTTGTAGACATGGTCTATTGGAAGAACTCCATTGATAATGCGTGGGTGGTAGTTTATGTTCCTGCCCATTTTTATTTCTTTTTTATTGTTATTATTTTTTATTTTTTTAAATTTTTTATTGAGAAAAAGAAAAAAAAAGTTTCCGCCTCCTTCCAGCCTCCCATTTCCCTCCCCCTCCTCCCATCCTTCTCCAGTCAGTAGCCCAGGCTGACCTTGAACCAGAAGTCCCTTTCCTCAGCTTTGCCAGTTCTCTAAATTCCTGGAATTCTTTATAAAATGCCTGAAGCTTTGATAAACCAAGTAAAGTTGTTGTTTTTTCAATTTTTTTTGTTAATATTTATTTATTTATTATGTATACAATATTCTGTCTCTGTGTATGCCTGCAGGCCAGAAGAGGGGACCAGACCTCATTACAGATGGTTGTGAGCTACCATGTGGTTGCTCGGAATTGAACTCAGGACATTTGGAAGAGCAGGCAGTGCTCTTAACTTCTGAGCCATCTCTCCAGCCCAAGGAAAAGATTTTTAATAGTTTGAGAAGCCAGGGAATAGAGAGTTTGGTGTCAGCCTTAAGAACCACCCATGGTAATAGAGGCAGATCTACAAATCTGCTGTTTCAAAACTTTGAACCACCTCACAAGGAATCTGACTCAACAATGCCATTCTTCCAGAACAGCACAGGCTGAGCACACTTTGCAAGTGGCTTGGAAAAGGCTAAAATATGCTGCTGGTGTAGTATTAGAAGAGGATGCTTACCTTCATGTTCCATTGTTCTCTGGGGTAAGCTGCGTTTTCTGGGTCCTTTTCCACTGTCTTGAAGGCACGCACAGCAAGAGCATGTGCTGAGTGCTCTCTGGCTGTGAGTGATGGTCACTGGAAGAAATGGGGGTGCAGGAAGAAGGCACAGGTGAGGTCTGAGGACCAAAGCCTGGCTTGGATCATCTCTAAGTTTTATGTGTTTGTTATTCATTTTTTTCAAAGCAGAGTACTCTATTTACCCAAAACAAATATTCCCTACCTCTTGAACAGTCAGTGCATTTCCAGTTTGGTTTGGTCTTACCCATTTTGGTTTCTGGAGCCTTGAGTACCAAGTCACAAGTTTGATGTCCACTCCTTGCCTAGTCTGGGTACAGCCATCTAGTCTGTGAAGTTTCTGAATCCCTTTCACTGCATCCCAAGGCACAGCTTTTCTTTTTAAATTCTATCAACTTTCTTAACTTCTCCATATGCATGATGAATTGTGGCTGTCTCTGTGTTACTTGCCCTGTAGTATGCCTGTGAAAATTAGGCGTTTCCTTGCTAACACAAGATCTTCTTCCTATCTCCATGTGTGTGCTTGGTGGTATGTTTTAATCTAGCATTTGGGGGACAGAGGGAAGAAGGGTCAGAGTTTAATGCCACCTTCAGGTACACAGCAAGTTTGAGACTGTTTCAGGCTACATGAGATACTGTCTCACAAACCCCCGATGAAAACAAAAACAGAAAAACCACCCACTTTATGAAGCACTGACTGGCAGCTTTACATTTTGTGGATTTCTTAGCTAAAACCGAAATAAACTGATTACATTTTGATTGGTTTTTCAATAATAAAGGTGGTGGTGAAAGTAAAAAATAAAATAAATTGATTGCTATTTTGCAAATATTATATTTCATAATGTATCACACACACTTGTTTCTCAGCAACTGGAGATTGTTCACATTGAGCAAGATAAGAAGGCCCAGAGTCTTCCGGAGAACAGCAGTTGCCAACTGGAGGAAGCCTATTTCCTGCTCTGGGGATGGGCTCGGTATCTGCACATGATGTGATTTTGTTTCTTTGAGGATTGGATTTTTCTTTTTGTTGTTGTTATGAGGTATGCTGGCTAGTTTTACATCATCTTAACAAAAGCCAGAGTCGTCTGAAAGGTGGGAACCTTCTTTGAGAAAATAACTTTATAAGATCCTGCTATAAGGCATTTTCTTAACTAGTGATGGATGGTGGAGGACCCAGCCTGGTGGGTGGTGCTATCCAGCCTGGTGGTCCTGGGTTCTATAGGAAA